CTTCCCCCCCGACTTCCCAGAGCCTGTAAATGGTATAGATTTTTAACAAACACAGTCTAAAATATATTAAGACAAAGGAAATAAAAAAAAAGAAGTTAATAACATCTCTGCATTGAACTCAGCTTCTTCCTGTTGCACTAGTTATGAGCAGTTTAGATTATTCCTAATCTTAAATCCACGCATCTTAAAGTTGCCACGGTTGAGAAACACGTCTCTAATCCATCCGTGTGAGACCCAGGAACAAATGGAGAAGCCTCCATCTCCTGGCTTGCTCACCTGAGGTCTTGTTGTCTTGGCCGAAAGCAGGGAATCCATCTACCTTGTGTTGGGTATCACCAATGGACCATTCCAAAACATCTCAGTGAGTTCAACAGGCTTTGTAAATCTCACATGACCTCACAGAGGTTCACTTGGCTATTTTCTCCATGTTCAGAGCCTGGATTATTGGGGGGGGGGGGCGGGGAAACCCAACAACATCTGGTTGAGCCAACATGGTTGAGTGCTCTTGATCCAATATCCAAAACGTCTCTTCTTTTCCCTGACCCAGGTCAGAACCAACGTCCCTTCTTGGTGTGACCGCATTCTCTGGAAGTCCTACCCAGAGACACACATCAATTGCACCTCCTATGGTAAGTTCCACGCCACTGTGGCCCTTTGGGCTTCCCTGGACGTAGTCATAGCTGGACCATTGACACCTTCATCTGCAAGCATCTCCCCATCTTCTCTCCCATACAACGATGTGTTGTGTCATGATTTGTGGGGTCAATGACAGTCCCTTGCCCAGCCTCCCAGTTCCATGGGGGTTCCTTGGTCCATCTGCAGCCTCCTCTTCCTCCTCCTCCCCCTCTTCCTCCTCCTGGGAGCAGGGTTGATCCCACCATGGTTGAAGGCATCTCTTGTTTTCTTGGTCAGGCTGTACGGATGATATCATGAGCAGCGACCACTCCCCGGTCTTCGCAGCCTTTGAAGTTGGAGTCACGTCCCAGTTTGTTTCCAAAAAAGGTATTTTCAGGGAAGAGGGCTGGGTGTGTGTGTGTGTGTGTGTTTGTGTGTGTGGTGTAGTGTAAATGATCTGATAAGGAGTTTATCCAGGGAAAAACCTTTTCGCTTCGGTCCAGACAGGAGGATCTGGGACCATCTTAAGAAACCTGATGGGAAGGAAAATAAATATAGAAAGTAGAGACCATTTTTTTTCACAAGCGTATCGTCAACCTGGGCTTCTTCAAAGTGTGGTTACGCCCATTAACCTGGGTTTGCTTTCAAAGGGGGATCATATAATAAATCCACGCAGGAGGAGTCCCTCGAGGCCCATCAGTCTTAAAAACAGGTGACCTCCAGATTGCAATTGCAGGGAGCAACACAATAAGGACGGGAGGGAGGGTGAGAAGGAAGGGAGTGAGTGTACTGGGAGAGAGGAGTGGTAGAGGGGGAAGGGAAGTAGGGTAGAGGGGAATGATGGAGGGAAGANGTGAAGTAGTATATAAGTCTTAAGTGCTATTTGCTAACAAACCTGTCAGCTCTCACCCAAATGCTAAGGATTCTCAGATTCTAGACCAGTGTTTCTCAACCTAGGCAACTTGAAGATGTCCGGACTTCAACTCCCAGAATTCCCCAGCCAGCATTCGCACTACTACAAGTAGTAGTGAAGTAGTATATAAGTCTTAAGTGCTATTTGCTAACAAACCTGTCAGCTCTCACCCAAATGCTAAGGATTCTCAGATTCTAGACCAGTGTTTCTCAACCTAGGCAACTTGAAGATGTCCGGACTTCAACTCCATTGAAGTCGCATTCGCTGGCTGGGGAATTCTGGGAGTTGAAGTCCGGACATCTTCAAGTTGCCAAGGTTGAGAAACACTGTTCTAGACATACCGACTCCTGGCGTGGGTCACGTTTGAGAAATTCAAAGTCACCACCCAGTTTTACCCTACAATGTTCAATAGTCTTATGAAGGACGAAAGTTTTTAATTCTACTGTGGATTCTGTAATGTTCTCAATCAGAATTGGTTCAAGAACATTGAGGGCCTGGTCCAACTGAAATTATAGAAATTGTCACTTTTTATTGAAAACTGCACTGAACGCTATATGTTCACCTTTACAATAAACAAATACAGTTAACGGTAATACACTAAAACAAAACATATTTCTGGTAGCCATTGGTTCTGGTTTTGTTTTGTTTGGGACAGCTTTTAAAACTTTTTATCACAGAAACAGAATGTACCCATACAAAGGCTCGGAATAAGCCATTTTTTTTTCCCAACAAAAGGTGATGTTTTCACAAAAGACTATGAATATAACATGTAACTAGTTGATACAAATCTAATAGGATTTGTTAAAATCAGTCACATCTAATAAACACATTTTGAAGTGTCCTTGTATAAAATACCACATGAAGAAAAGAAGACTTCGATGTCTAAAAAAGTGGGTTTTTTGTTCATACAGTCTGACAAGTTACCATAAAAAGTGTTTTTTTTTCCTGAGACATAAGGAAATGCAACATTCTTGAATCCTTTCCAGCTCAAGACTTTTCCACTCAATAAAATAGCTGTGGATTTAAAACTGAGAAAAATATATTTGAATATAAATGTGAGACTTAACACTTTTTTTCCTTTTGCATCATCATGTGTTATTGAACTTACAGCTACTTTATTAAGTGTATCTTGTGGGAGAAGCGTCAATTTCTGTGAAAAAGGCTGTAAGTTAACGTAGGCCTTTTCCCCTCTCTAAGCTATATAACTGTAATTAAACTTTGAGTAGCATCCCTCCAGTAAATTAGTGGCTACAGATAACTGTAACGAGCAAAAGTGTCTCTCCGTGTGTGGGTCATCTTTCCTCAAGGTGTCGAAAGAGAAGCCAGGTAATTGAGTAAGGAAAGGGCTGAAGTCACAGGATGGCGTCCTCTCTATTATCATGTAAGTTTCGTTAGGGCTGTTAGATTATGTTCTAAGTAATAAGATACTTCAATCAGCTGTTTTTCCCCCCAAAGGGACATAGAAGATACATATATTATTCTTGTGATTGATGTAAAGATGAAAGAACTTAAATACACAATAACAGAAGCTGATCAGTAATGTTATCAAATCCTAGTTTTCAGTGCTTCAGTAAGCAGATGACTTCTTCCGTTTCCCCCTCCCTCCCTTAAGTCTTGACTCCTATCTTGTGATTGTTGTGGTCGTCGTCGTCGTCGTTAACACTGGAACGTCATGATGCATCTGTCCAAAATGAACCTTACAAATTTTGTATCAAATCCCTTTCAAGTTTGTCGTGTTCTTATCCAACGTCTCTTGGTCCCAAATTGGAGTGCTTTAATTGTCTGCTATTGCTCATTTGGATGTTCCCTGTTGTCCCCATGTTTTGAGGGCTGGTTGGGAGATGGAGCTTGAGAAGGGTGGGCCACAGTTGGAAGATTATGGGTAACTGGAATCCCTCCTGGAATGATACCTTCCATAGCTGCTGGGATTCCGCCTGGAGTAACACTCATCATTCCTGGTGGATATCTAGAAAGAAATTGATTTTTAATTAGAAGAAAACAAATGCACACGTGTTTCTTCATGGTATTAGACCTGGGTACTTGAGAGACCGCCTGCTGCCAATTACCTCCCACAGACCCGTTAGATCGCACAGGG